CCCAGCCAGGCCTGCCTGGCGAGCCCCCCACCTCCCTGCCCCCCACTTCCCGAGCTGCCAGCCTGGAATTCCCGCCCCATGCATGTGTCAAAGCCACGCACCCCTGGGCGGCCGGAGCTGAGCTCCGCCCGCCTTCCCTCCCCACCCCCGGCTGCATGGGCCTCATCCAAGAGCCCGTCGGCTGCCCGGTTTCTGTGGCTTTCCCTTGGGAACCGTTTTTCTGTCTCAGAAGAGAGCCCAGTTCTTCCGCGAGGCCTTTGCTGGTGTCTCCAGACGCCCTGTGGGTGGACAATGTGGCCCACCCTTTTGGTCTTAGCACGTACCACCTGGTGCCGCTGGGCATCTTTCAAGCCCCAGAGTGACCCAAACGGCTTTCTCCTGGGGAACACCCTCCTTATCCCTGAGAGTTAACCAGGCTCCGGATGCTCTACAAGGAACAGGGAGGGGAGGGTGCAGAAGCCAAGATGCAGTGTTTTCAGTAAGAGGAATCCGAGGCCTTGCGAGGCCACCACTCGTCCGTCACAGGCCCATTTGGTGGCAGATCCGGGATTGAAACTTGAGCCTCCCCCGCTTCGGAGGGTGGGCCTCCCATCCTCCGTGATTGTCCACAGAGGCTGGTGCTGGCACTCGCAGGGTGGTGGGGGCACCCCTCCTGCCTTCCGTGAGCGAGTCTCAAATCCCCCTTCCTCAGATGCAGCTTCTACGAAACCTTAGTCCTTGAGAAGAGGCAGGAGTTGGCTTTTCTGCTGCTGTCAGACCCTGATGTCAGGTGGGTCAGGAGCTCTCCAACAGCCTTCTCCGGCTCCGGGCGTGGGGCTGAGCGCAGAGGCCCAAGCAGCTCCCCCCGAGCCTCAGATCCAGCAGTGAGTCGGGAGCATGGAGTTGAGGGCCCGGAAGGAGGCCTGTGCCACGTGAGCAGCAGGGAGAGGTGCTCTGAAGAGGAACTTGCACATTGTATCTTAAGGGATTTGTAGGAGCTCTGGGCCAGAGAGGAAGGGCATCGTGAGGAGAGGCACCGGGGCAGCTGTGAGCGGGAGGTTGGCGTGGCCCAGGGCGTCTGGAAGGTGCGAGACGTGCTCCGCACCAGAGGCCTCTGTGCTTCTCGGAGTAGCTTCTGTGATACGGTTCCTGCTCGGGGCTTCGCTATTCTAATTGTCCTCGTTGGACGGAGCCTTCCAGATCTGTCTGCATGCACGTTTCTAAACCTAGGATGCAGTTTTTATTTTCTCGGTGCAGAAGCGTTACATGCTCATAGGAAAAAGTGGGGTGGGGGACATGGGAATAGAAATCAGCCAAAGAAGGAAACAAAAAAAGACAGTCGCTCAGCCCTGGGAGGGAACGGTTTTCAGTGTGCTCGTGTGTGCCCTTCCGTACCTTCCCTTCTGATCAGAATGGGATTGTGCCACCTGCGTTATTCTATAACCTGCTTTTTCCACTTGGCAGCGTATCACGAACATCCTTCCCCGCTGGTGGATGTGATCCGCGTTCCCCTGTCCAGCCTCTCCCTGATTCTTAGACGTTGGAGTCGTCCCCCCCCTTTTATAACTGTAAAATGCATTTGTAATATGAAAAACCAAAATTGGGAACATCATAGGAAGCGCACCTGTCTCGTGTTCTAAACCCGAAATATCCCCTCTCAAGGTGCTGGGGTATTTCCCTGGAAGCCCTGCCTCTGGGAATAATTAATGGTGTGTGCGTTCCGTTATTTTAAGGACACACACTCTTGTTCTGCTCCTCTGGGTCGCGCATCCTCCCCCAGAAGCGGCCGCGTGGGAGGGAGGCCGTGTCGTGGTCAGCACTGGGGGGGCACAACTGGGTGGATGCTTTTTAGGTGTCAACCGAGTGCATTTCGTTTGTTTTCGTTTTCGGTTGAAGGGAAACTCACACCTTGTGAATCTCGCCATTCTGACCATTTTTTTAAAACGTACAGATCAGTGGCTCTCGTGTGGCTGTGGCCACCTACAAAGGGAAATCACGTGTGGTTTCGACCCTGCTCTTCTCTTCTAGTGTCTCATCAGCAAGGTTTGGGTCGCTGAAGCGTCCGTTCACGTTCTAGTTTGTTTCAGCGTAGGTCGTCTGCTCCCACGGCTCAGAATTAAGCAGGCGCGCAGTGGTGGGAGTCCCAGCTCCGAGCCCCGGGAGAGCGTCCTGGTCCCGGCAGAACACAGACGGGAAGGGCAGGGAAGACGGCGCTGTTCGAGGCGGGGCAGGGACAGAAGCCGGACATGCAGTCCGAGATGTTGGAGCAGGGAAGGGAGGGGTGCGGGCCTGAGGGCCTCCAGGCTTGCTCTTGCCCTGCTGCCTGGAGGGGTGGGCCTACCCCTGGGGGTGGGGGGTGGGGGCTCTGGGTGCGGTGATGCGGAGTCGGGGAGGGCCTGCTCCAGGTTCCTGGGCAGCGGGGCCATGGCTGGGTGGGAAGGTCTGGGCAGCGGCACCCTGCTGCCTCCCAGGGGACCCCACAGGTAACGCCCTTGAGCTCTGGGGCCCTGGACCTAATGTAGTGAAAAACCCAGGGGGGCGTAGACAGGAAGTTCTGCTACCTTTACGTTTGCAAAATCGTGTGTCTAAACAGCTTGGCGGAGTCCTCCGTAAAAGGAAGCTTCCTTGTTGGTCTTTCCACAGACTCCAGCCCCCTGGCCCCCACAGACAGCACTTCCATGCAGTGGTAGGGTGTGCGCCTGACTTTGTTACACTGTCCCGTGCACAGGAGGCCGCAGGATGTCGTGGAAAGGGCAAAGACCTTGGAGTCAGACTGCGATCGGGCCCTTGCCTGACCCCCTTACTGGCCACAAACTAATACGCTGTTGGGCCTCTGTAAGGTGGGCACCCATTCCCCCCGGACACGGTGCTGCACCTTTTACGTCTGTGTCGTCATGTGACATTTGCAAAAGCCTGCAAAGTGGTATTTGTTAGTCCCGTTTTCAAGCTGAGGAGCAACGGAGCCCAGGTTCAAGTTCACTCGCTGCAAATCTGCAGGCTGCAGCCCGGGCTGCCCGGCTCCAGAGCCCCTGCTCAGCCCTCCCCCTCGTGGCACCCCTGCCGGCCCGAGGGTGTTGTTTGTGGGGGAAAAAGTGGGTTTGAGAAGCAAATTGTGGAAGCACAAACTTTATTAAAATAGAATATCCCCAGACAGGTAACACGCAGAGAGGTGATCTCAGCAGGTGAGCAAGGGGGAGTTACCGCCCAGATCAAAGCGCAGGTTGTCGTCGGTGCCCCGGGAGCCCCTGCTGTCCCTCGTCGCGTCCTGACTCCGGTCCGCGTGCATTGGTTTCGCCTGTTTGGGGACTTTGTACAATGAAGTCGTACTCACACTCTCTCTTCCATCTGGCTTCTCGCGCTCAGCACCCCGCCCTGGGACTCATTCATTCCCGGGCGCGTAGTGATCATTCATTCATGCCGCGGTGGAGAACATTCCGTTGTCTAAATATGCCACCGTCGGTTGGTTGGTTTGTTCTCCTACGGGTGGACGTTAATTAGGGTTGTTTGCCGTTTGGCACCCACATGTCTAACACTGCTGGAACATTCTCTGCGCGTATCTCGATGCACGGGCCCCGCTGTGCTCTGTGTGGTGTGCACCAGGGAGTGAGGTGCGGGGGTTATGGGCGGACAGAAGAGACTGCCAAGCAGCATTCGGGAGCAGCGGAGCCGAGGTCCGTTCCAGCAGCTTCGGCTCTCTCCCTGGTAGGAGCCGTTCTAACGAGCACGCGGTACACTGCGCTGTGGTCTTATTTCCCGTTTCCCTGGCGGCTAACAATGCCGCTACTCTCGACAGGAGCGTTAGATGCTCTAAGGAAGCGCTTGCTCGGGTCTTTTGACAGTTTTTCTGTTGGATTATCCCGTCTTTTGCTAGTTGATTGGTAGGGTTTTCTTATGTTCTCCACCCGAGTCCTTTGTCAGATATACAGAAGTTGCAGACATCTGCCGTGCCGTGGCTCGCCTTTCGTTTCCTTAATAGTGCTGTTTTGAATGGAGACAGCCACACTTTAGCGTTCAGACTTGTCACTCTATTCAGACTGGCCACACTGCACACATCCCGAAGATTTGCCATGCAGAGAGAGGTCTGGTTTTGGCGCCTTGCTGTCTTAGGCCTGAGGGTCCCTGGCCAGGCTCACGGGGCATCTTTATTTTTTATTATTTTTTAAGGATTTATTTATTTTAGAGAGAGGGAGAGAACACGAGCGGGAGGGGGAGAGAGAATGTCCAGCAGATTCCACATGGCACGTGGAGTCCGACGCGGGGCTCGGTCCCACGACCCCGAGATCACGACCTGAGTCCAAACTGAGTCCGACGCTCAGCCGACTGCACCACCCAGGCGCCCCTCACTGGGCTTCTTTAGATGACCCTGCAGGCCTGGGCAAGGAAGACGAGAAGGGAAAGGACCGGAAATGGAACGGGGGGCAGGAGGCCAGCCGCAGGGAGGTGGAGGGTGGGCCGGCAGTGGTGCTGCTGTCTGGGGAGGACAAGGCGCAGGGTTCTAGAAGGTGCCACGGCCCCAGGGAACAGGTCACAGTGGCCCCTGCGCGGGGACAGGAAGGCGGGCTTGGGAGCGGAGCAGGGGTCTGTGGGGTGAGGCAGTGGATGGGGGCACTGGGCTAGAGGCCATGGTGGGACACAATCCTGAGGGCCATCCCGGAGGAAGTGGTGTACAGATCGGTGCGTCCGAGTATGGCGTGTGGAAGGGAGTGGCAGGCGAGGCCGGGGACAGCTTCTGAAGGCACTTCCATGCCCCAGTCTGTGGGGGTGGGAGCCTGCAGGGATTGGAGGTGAGACAGAGCCATCGGGACCCTTGGCTGGATGGCGAGGGACGGGAGTAATGTCCTTGACCCTTCTTTGCTCGCATGGATCTGGGGGCTGGAGGGCCTGCCTCTGGCAGCGGCCACGTCTCAAGAGTCTTTGAACTGGCTGCAGAGGACGTTGGGGAGGCTGCGCCCGAGGGGAGCTCAGAGTCCTGCCCCCAGGCCACGCGCATCCCATGCCCACCGGGTACTTTTGTCTTTCAGGACTTCCTCTGTCAAAGACAGCAGCTTTGTGGAGAAGATGAAGAAGACGGTGAGTTTTCTCCATGTCTGTGCCCTTCCCCGGGGGGCGTCGTGGCCCTGGTGGACGGGGGAGGAAGGCCAGCTCCGCTGGACAGGAGGGGAGAGTGGGCGCGAACGTTCTCAGCTAACCAAAGCCTGAAGCTGCTCTGCCCTGCCCAGAAGGCTTATTACCCTCTTTTTCGGATGTTTACTTCTTGAACCAACTGCACTGTAAGACTAGCCCCTCCCTCCGACTCGGGGGGCTCTCCCTTGTCCACCCTCCCGGTCCAGGCCCCGGGCTCGAGCAGATAGAAACCTCACACAGCTGTGGCCAGAGCTCAGCTATGGTTTTCTCTGGTTTTGTTGAAGTATTTCGTTTTATGGGAAAGTACTACATTCAAATGCTCAAAATCCCAAACTTTCCTGTCCCTGCCACTCATCACCATTGTTCTTAGCCTTTTGTGGATCCTTCTAGGGCTCCTCTATGCCACCAAAAAACCCCCAGATCCTTATTTTACATCTTTTCAGAACACAAAAGGTGGCAATTACATACATGTCATAAACCATGCTTTTCTGTACCTGGTTGTTTTTTTTTTTAAACTTGTGTGTCAGAGCTCCTTCCAGAGCAATTCCAAGACTCCCCCCTCCTTGACTGTAGCTGCCTAATGATTTCATTCTGTGACCGTGAATATGATCCTTTGTTTTCGCTCTGCCCTGTGGGGGGGCCGGTGGACTATTTCTAACCTTTAGCTCTTACAAACGATGCTGCTGGGATTCTGGAAACCAGTGTCCGCATCTGCAAATACAGTAAAATCCCAGAAGGGGAATTGTTGGATCCAAAGGTGTGTGCATTTGTAGTTGTGATAGAAGCTGCCAGATCGCCCCCCCGCCCACCGCCCGTCCCGGGGTCACACCAGTGCACCCTTGTTAGCTGTGTGTGGGCAAACCTGTTGTCCACAGCCTTGCCAGGAGAGTTTATCATCCAAGTTCGGAGGTTTGCCAGTTTTCTAGGTTAAAAAAAAGCCATCTCCAATTTGCATTTTTCTTATGAATGGGTTTCAGCAGATTCTTGTGTGTTATGCCAATGGCATTTCTTTTTTTTTATAGATTTTCTCTTCAAATCTTTTGCCCACTCTTCTGTTGGGATTGATCCTTCTCGAGGAATTCCTTAAAATGATGGAGAGTAACCCTTTGCTCGTGACACAAGTTACAAATATTTTTCCCAGTTAAAAGTTTGTGTTTTGACCTGGTTCATGTGCACGTGTGTGTGTGTGTGTGTGTGTGTGTGTGTGTTGCCGTGTGAAGTTATTCAGTGAGTGCACTTTATTCCTCCTATGACTTCTGGACTTTCAGTTATTTGCAATTTGAGTCATTAACACTAAAGAGAAAAGAATCCTTGCACGTTTTCTTTTCAGTGCTTTCTAATACTTTCTCACTCATAATTAAAATTCAGTCTGTTGGTAATTTATCCTGCTGTACGACGCGAGGCATGGATCCACTGCTAAGCTCCATGCAGTTGTGCCCGTCTTTTCCCCTCTGGTTTTATCAAATATATGTTTCCCACATGTATTTGGGCCTTTTTCTAGATTTTCCTGTCGCAGTACTTTGATCTGGCCATCTGTGGACAATATCCTACTGTTTCAGTTACTGAGGTTTTACAAAGCTTGCTTTAATTTCCATATTGCTAGGCCCCGCCACCAACCCCACCCCAGCTCTTACTTTCCTGTTTTCCTGGCCGTTATTTTTATATGTATTTGTCTGGGGTAATGGCGTTAGTGAGATGCAGTTCACGTTCCATACAGGTCACCCTTTTAAAGTGTACACTTCAGTACTTTGAATGTATTCCCAGATTTGCACCAACCACCACCACAGTCCATTCTAGAATATTCTGTACCCCAAAAAGCCACCCTGTACCCATTAGCAGCCATTCCCCACTCCCTAACCCGCACCCCCCTCAGCCTGAAGCAACCGTTCATCCGCTTCCTGGGCCCCTTAGAGAGTTGCCTGTTGGGGACCTTTCCTATAAACGGAATCATTCCGTGTGTGGCCTTTCGTGTCCGGCACCTTTCACTGAGCCTCGTGGCTTCGGGCTCCGTTTTGTGGCACATGCCGGCCCTGCTTTCCTTCTCGTTGCCAAATCACGTTCCAGCGGAGGGATTTATTTCTCCACACGACCTCGAGGATGAAGTTGTGGAGGTAAAAAGAGCTGTTCGGACGTTGCGCTGGCTGGTGTTGGTTTCTGGATTGATGCGGGGAGAACGGACCTCTTGAACGTTGAGTCTTTGTGTGCAAACTCCGGGCCTCTTGCTTCAGTTGAATCCTTCATCGGGAGCTTCTTGCAGGTTCCTCGGAAGGCTTATCTCTAAGTACTTCGTATGTTTTGATGCCACTGTAAACATTTAGGTACTGTTTCATATCCTGTTTTGTCCCCTTAACCTGAAATCCTAAGACGTCCCTGTTTTACTAGTTTTTGTAACGATTCTTTAAAAGAACCTTTGCAGATGATCTGTAGGACATTCAGGAAATAGAAAAGGTATGAGAACAATTTACAGCAATTATAATCCATACTTTTTTTTTCTCCTTTGTACTCACACGTTAGGGCTCCGTGGAAAAACCAGACAGCAGTCTAGGGCTTGAGGGCACTGGAAACCTACCACAGAGAGACCTCATGTTACAAAGGGGACCGGAAGGTAGACATGCCTCGCTTCCGCCTCCCAGCTCTTGCAGAACACATCCAGTCAGCTGGGCCTAATTTGCTGCACCCCAAGCCGCAAGGGAGTCTGGGGAATAGAGGTCTGGCTTCCCAACAGCTGCAGGAGAGGCCACAGGAAGAGGGGGGTGGAGTGAAGAGCATGGGAGCCCATCCACTGGGTACCTTTCCTATCGTCTGGATTTTTATAAAGAATATTTTGTAATCACGCACAGTTCTCCATGTGAAGACTGTTGGTCTGCCGCTTGCTAGTCTTTCCCCCCGTGCGTGTGTGTATTAACAGAACACATAAGAGGTACACACGATGTCTGGAACAAAATGGGAGTATACTGTACATACCTTGTTTGGTCACTTTTTTTTTGACTGAACATTACATTGTGTTTTTTTCCCGTGTCATTTAATAATCTGTCCAAAGTGTGATCTGGAGCAGCTGTGTGTCTGGGTGGCCTTGGTCACCATCTGTCACAGTAGCCGTGGCAGCAAGAGGGTTGCCCCAGAGTGACTTAGGAGGACTGGAGGCAGGAAGGAAGAGGGTCCCCTTGAGGGACCCCACCTGCCTAGCCTGCCCTGCGGTCACCTGGAGTCTCAGGTGAAGCCTGTGGCTCTTGGTCCCTCACTGACCCCGCGTGTCTGGTCTTCTCTAGGGCAGGAACATCATCGTGTTCTACGGCTCCCAGACGGGGACAGCGGAGGAGTTTGCCAACCGCTTGTCCAAGGACGCCCACCGCTACGGGATGCGGGGCATGGCTGCAGACCCCGAGGAGTATGACTTGGTGAGCACTCCCCGCACCTTGGCCCTTCCAGTAGCATTGACGAAGGCGTCCGGAGCATGGAAACATGTAAGGGGCTGAGCCAGCGGAAGGGGTGTGCAGGTGTGAGCTCCCAGCGCCGTGCACGTCCAGCCTCCCCTGCCCCGCACGCCCTAGGCTTTCCTGGGCTGGCCGGGTGCAGGGAGACGGGACTCAAGCACCTAGTGGATGAACGGGTCTCAGCAGTCCAGGGAGGAAGTGGTTCCCGTTTCTCCCTTGCGCCCCCAAACCGCAGCGGCAGGGGAGGCAGCCCTGGCAGCCCTGGGGCGGGGGCGGGGGGGGGCCCACAGCACCAAGCCCTGCCGCTGGGCTGTGAAATGAGGCTGTATTAGCTCATGTATTAATTGGAACAGGAACGGGGCCGGAGGGAAGGGCCCAGGGAGCCTGAGAATTGGGGATTAAGGCCCCCTGTTGGGAGCTGCAGGATGCCTCTGTCTCCCATCAGCTCCCCTCAGGTCACCGCAGGCCTGTCTGCCAGACTTAGTACTCACGTCCTGCTTTCCACTGCCCCCAGGCTCTCTTGGAGGGGGGGACGCAGGGCAGGCTCGCCTTGCTCATTGGCCTCCTGGCATTGGCTGTTTGTCCTTCCCTGAGCATGGCGATGGAAACTTCCAGCCATCTGCTTGCCTGTTTATGGGGCGGGGAGGTAGGAGAGCTAATGCCAGCCAGGCCCCTGGCCCCAGGGAGGGGTTAGAGGCTGGCCAGGAACAGGTGGTCCTGGGAGAAGTCCGGAGTTGCCGTCCTGCTTGGATGGGGTCCTTGTGGGTCATGGCCCAGACCTGCACGCGGCCCAGTGTCCTTCAGTCTCGGGGACCAGCACCGCCACCCCTCTGGCTGCAGATCTCTGTGTTAGGTTGGTCAGGAATTTGCAAGAGCCCAGCTCCGCTGTGCTCCTGGGACTTTGCAGGACGAGGCGGCTCTCCCCCAGGGGCCCAGGTTCTGAGTGCCAGCTGGGGGCTCAGCCCCCAGGCCCTCACCCGTGTTCATCTGTGCCTGCTGTTCCCTCCCCTCAGGAAATGCACCCCCCTCCACTCCAAACTGCAGATGTCTGTCCCACGCATCGGTTCGGATGCCAGCCCCCTCCGTGCAGCCCTCTCTGACTGCTCAGTGCCCCATCCTGAAGGAATCCCTGGCTGACCCGGAGCCTGTGGGACGTCCCTGGCTGGCAGCTGCCCCGGGCGGGGCCTGGGCCCGCCTCTCTGCCTCCCATCAGGCACAGACCTGACATGGCCGGGCCCGGGCCCCACTCTTGTGTCCCCAGGCCGACCTGGGCAGCCTGCCAGACATCGAGAACTCCCTGGCCGTGTTCTGCATGGCCACCTATGGTGAGGGGGACCCCACGGACAACGCCCAGGACTTCTACGACTGGCTCCAGGAGACTGACTTGGACCTCACTGGAGTCAAATATGCGGTGAGTCACCCCGTATTCCCTGCAGTGGCTTTCCCTGTGGTGCCTCTCCCGGGCCTCTGGAACCCCGTGTCCAAGGGGAAAGCCTCCCTCCCGTTCCCACCTCGCTCTGATCGGCCAGGGTGCTTCAAGCTGGGGGGCCTGGCGGGGAGGCCGGTGGGGAGGCTGCTCCGGGGACAGCCCTCTCTTCTGGCCTGGGCCCCGTGCTGAAAGCGTCTCCTCCCCTGTCCCCAGCCCCACTTTGCTCCTGGGGGGCACGGGCTGTGGGAGACGACAGGTGGGAAGGGTGGAGCAGGCTGGCCCCGATTCGGCTGCGCCAGGAGCGCCGGGTAGGGACGGTGCGTTGCCCCTGCTGCTCACCCAAGGGTGAGGCTTACAGGCTGCAGGTCACCAAAACCCAGCTACTTCCGGGAGCCAAGGTGGCCCACCTCACCATGCCGGGCATCTGGCAGCCGTGGAGGCCCGGGCGTGCGTGCGGCGTGGCCGGCTCTGGGGAAACCCACCCTGACCCTGACCAGGCCCCAGACCCGCCCCCTCTGTCTGCACAGGTGTTTGGTCTTGGGAACAAGACCTATGAGCACTTCAATGCCATGGGCAAGTACGTGGACAAGCGGCTGGAGCAGCTCGGCGCCCAGCGGATCTTTGAGCTGGGGATGGGCGATGACGATGGGAAGTGAGTGCCCCCCCCGCCGCCCGACCCGGAGCCCACGGGGGTCAGGGCCGACTGTGGCACACGAGGGGAGGGGAGTACAAAGCCACAGGTCAACGAGCCTCCTGCCAGGCACACCCTGGGGCAAGGGAAGGCGGTCCCCACCCCCCACCTGCACCCCCTTCTTTGCCTTGCCCCCTCCTCTCGGCTGGCCCGGCCCCGGGATTTGCACAGACCCTCCAAATGCTGCCCGGCACCGTGGGTCACATCCCCGAGCAGCCCTTGGGCTCCCTGGGGCCGGGCTCATTCCCTCGTGTCGCCAGCCTGGAGGAGGACTTCCTGACGTGGCGTGAGCAGTTCTGGCCGGCCGTGTGCGAGCACTTCGGGGTGGAAGCCACCGGAGAGGAGTGCAGGTGAGTGTGTGCCCGTGGGCTGGGCAGGGAGTGAGTGCCCCCCAAGGGTGGGAGAGCTGGTCTGCGGGGGTCCCAGCAGGGACCCCACGAGAAGCCGGTAGAAGCCGAGGCCCAGAGCGCAAGGGGCCTGGGTCGAGGCACTTGGGCTCTGCCTGGCAGTGCTGGGCAGTAGGGGGCTTTCCTTATCTTCTCACGGAAGGGCCTCGAAGCCGGCAGCTCGCCAGGCCGCGCCAGCCCTCCTCCGTGTCAGCTCCCTCTCCTTCCCACCACCTCTGGACCCTCCCTGCGGCAGGGTGGCAGGCATGGTCTCAGGCCCTGTCCCTGAGGCAGCCTCCCTCCTCTCGGGCCCCTCCCCGCCTCACCCTTGTCTCCCCTTTCCAGCATTCGCCAGTATGGGCTGGTGGTCCACCCAGACATAGACCCGGCCAAGGTGTACGTGGGAGAGGTGGGCCGTCTGAAGAGCTACGAGAACCAGAAACCGTGAGTAGAGGGCGCGCGTGGGGGCCCGGGGCCCTGGGTCCACCGCCACTGAGCAGCCGGCAGTCCTGTGTGCCCTCTTATCTCCACCCTCGTCACGGAGCGGGCAGGGGTCGGGGCACCCATGATTTCCTCCCCACCGTACAGGAGGGCATAAGGCCCAGAGCGGAGAGGCGGAGGCCGCCCCCCAACCCCCCAGGGCCCTCCCGGTGGTCCCTCAGGCCAGGGCACGGCACCTGGGAGACTGGCACTGGGTCCGTTAGCGCTTCCTTTGACATTTTGCCCTGTAAAGATCCTGGGGCAGGGAGGCCCAGATCCGTGCTTGGACCAGGACAGCATGAGTCTGGCTGAACTCTGGCAGAAGGGCTCACTTTCATTAAAACCCGCCTTGGTATTTGGACTTTTTTGTCCAAAAACAGTGTTCCTCTCTCGGGCCCCTGACTCGCCTTACTCTTGGGTGCCGCCTGGACCCCTGGAGCCACCCAAGAAAAGGTCATCCCCAGAATTTAAGACCAGTGACTGTGCAGAGTAAAACTATCTGCTGGTGCACGGTCCAGGGCCTGTGGGGTGAAGGAGCTCTGCTCCACAGTCACTGGGGGGGCCTGGGCACCCTTGGTCTTGGGGAGCCATCTTCAAGGGGGCCTGGTCCCCCTGCGCACTCCGCCCACAAACAGGTAGCATGTGGAGGGTCTCCCCGGGTTTTAGGGGCCAGCCTCTGTTTCCTTGTTTGTAAATAGGGAACTGATAACCTAGCTCTGCCCACTTTGGGGGTTTGTTGGGGGCCCCGCCTTGGATCAGGCTGGGAGAACCTTTCACATAATTGGGAGAGCCTTCTTGGGGCCCTTGGAGGCCGGCTCTAAGGTTCCCTGTGTTCTGTGAAACCCGAGGGGTCCCCTGGGGGCAGGGAGATTCAGACTGAAGTCCCGGCCAATCACTGCGCTGCTCTCTTCCCCACCCAGCCCCTTCGATGCCAAGAATCCCTTCTTGGCTGCTGTCACCGCCAACCGGAAGCTGAACCAGGGAACGGAGCGCCACTTCATGCACCTGGAATTAGACATCTCAGACTCCAAACTCAGGTGCCGGCAGCCGCCCCCTCCCCCAGCCCACTCAGGGCCTCCGGGCCGCCTTCCCCGGACCCCTCCTGAGCCTCACGTTCCCCCCGACCCCCCCCACCCCAGGTATGAATCTGGGGACCATGTGGCCATTTACCCAGCCAATGACTCTACCCTGGTCAGCCAGCTCGGTGAGATCCTGGGTGCCGACCTGGACGTCGTCATGTCCCTGAACAATCTCGATGGTGAGTCCCCGAATCCAGGCTGGATTCCCACCCCCCCACCCCCCTACAGTTCCAGGTGCTGGAGCAGACCCGCTGGTCAGCGGCCACTGAGCCCAGGCCCTCATCCTCCTCTCCCCCCGCAGAGGAGTCCAACAAGAAGCACCCCTTCCCCTGCCCCACCTCCTACCGCACGGCCCTCACCTACTACCTGGACATCACGAACCCGCCTCGCACCAACGTGCTCTACGAGCTGGCCCAGCACGCCTCCGATCCCTCGGAGCAGGAGCAGTTGCGCAGGATGGCCTCGTCCTCGGGCGAGGGCAAGGTAGGCCCGGCCCCGCTGGCCCCAGCCCTGCCGCCCACACCCCGCCCGCGCCTCACCCCGCTGCCGGTCTCCTCCGCAGGAGCTGTACCTGAGCTGGGTGGTGGAGGCCCGGAGGCACATCCTGGCCATCCTGCAGGACTACCCGTCCCTGCGGCCCCCCATCGACCACCTGTGCGAGCTGCTGCCCCGGCTCCAGGCCCGCTACTACTCCATCGCCTCGTCCTCCAAGGTGCGCGGCCGGCCTTGGCGGGGGGGCGGGGGGGGAACGGGGGGACGGGGCCAGCGGCAAGGGGCCTCGGGCATGCGCTCACCCCTGCCCCGCCCCCGCCAGGTCCACCCCAACTCCGTGCACATCTGTGCGGTGGCCGTGGAGTACAAAACCAAGTCCGGCCGCATCAACAAAGGTGTGGCCACCAGCTGGCTGCGGGCCAAGGAGCCCACTGGGGAGAACGGCCGCCGGGCCCTGGTGCCCATGTTCGTGCGCAAGTCCCAGTTCCGCCTGCCCTTCAAGGCCACCACGCCGGTCATCCTGGTGGGCCCTGGCACCGGGGTGGCCCCGTTCATTGGCTTCATCCAGGAGCGGGCCTGGCTGCGGCAGCAGGGTGAGCACATGGGCCCGGGGCGGGGTCCCGCGGGGGTGGGGCGTGCCTCTTCCCACCCCCCACCCCCGACCCAGCACAGCCTCACCCCTGCCCCGCCACCAGGCAAAGAGGTGGGGGAGACGCTGCTCTACTATGGCTGCCGCCGCTCGGACGAAGACTACCTGTACCGTGAGGAGCTGGCTGGGCTCCACCAGGACGGCTTCCTCACCCAGCTCAACGTGGCCTTCTCCCGGGAGCAGCCCCACAAGGTGAGGCCTCGGGCCCGGGGTGCTGGGACTCGGGGCTGGGGGGGGGGGCCTCCTCACAGTGCCCCCCGCCCCCAGGTCTACGTGCAGCACTTACTGAAGAGGGACAAGGAGCACCTGTGGCAGCTGATCCACGAGGGCGGCGCCCACATCTACGTCTGTGGGTGAGCGAGGGCAGAGCAGGGGGGAGGGACGAGGCCCACCCGCCCGCGGGGACCCCCCCCCACCGAGCGCCCCCTCCTTCCTGCCCTAGGGACGCTCGGAACATGGCAAGGGACGTGCAGAACGCCTTCTACGACATCGTGGCCGACGGGGGGCCCATGGAACACGCCCAGGCCGTGGACTACATCAAGAAGCTGATGACCAAGGGCCGCTACTCCCTGGACGTGTGGAGCTAGGGGCTGCCCGGCCTGCTCCTGCCCCTCAGGCCCCTGCAGACTCGCTTCCCCATGTAATCACTTCCCTCGCTCCCTTCTGCCAGTGTCCTGGGTGGTTTCTGCACGGCCTTGCCCCCGGGGGGCAGAGACTGGTCCAGGCCCCAGGCACACACCGGCCCCGGGTCAAGGGTGTGTATTTTGTAAACAAACACTTCAGGCCCTTGGGGGCCGTACAGAAGGGGCTCTTCTCAGCTGAGCTGGGCCCCAACCCCCTCCACGTTATTTTCAATGACTGTAAATAATTTTAAATAATCTCTGGTCCTTGGAATAAAGTTCTGTTTTCTGTATTTGACTGCTATTGCTTGGGTAGATCCGGGGTCTTCCCCTGGGTCCATTTAAAACTCAGAGGACCCAAGAGGCCGTGCAAGGGTGGCGCTGAGGCCCGCGCCTGACCCTTGGGAGAGCACACACCTCAAGCCACCTGTCTGCCACTCTTCCTTTATTTAGGCTGCTGGCCCCCAGCTCCCTGCAGGCCCGGAGCCCAGGCCCAGTCCTCTCCAGTGTCACCTTCGGGGCCCACAGAGCCCACAAAACCCCAGGGAGAACAGAAGGGACCCTCCCAGATGAGGGGGGCCCCCTACGCCCTCAAAGGGGACAGAAGCCCCTGCCAGGCCGGGGGGGGGCCATAGGGAGCCGGGTGGGCATGGCAGGCAGGCCCAGACTCATTCTTTCTTGCTCCCACGCCTTTGACTGTGGAATTTCTGGTGCACAACCCGCAGGGTGGTGAAGAAGTTGCCAAGGAAGAGGAGGAGGAAGGGGAGGCCACACATGAGCACCTGGGGGGAGAAGCGGGGTCAGGACCGGGCCGGGCGCTGGCCTGCGCAGTGTCCTGCCTCCTCCCCGGGTCCCCGGGCTCACCTGCCACTCCTTGCACTCGGGGTCCCGGGCCAGGCTGAACAAGGTCAGCGCGTTAAAAAGCTGC